GGGGGGGGGGGTACAGGCGTACAGCTGTAGGTGCGACATTTTTGGGGTCGAATTCCTAAGCCTTGCGACTGGAAAATAGTTCAAATTTGATAAATATCCCTTTCTTAGGTTAGCAAAACTACAGTTTGAGGCAACATTTGTGGTCAAAATCCCCAGAGAGGGGGCAAAGGAGGTGTTCAAACCTGGGGCTCTTTCCGTTCAGCCAAAAATTTCGGAAATCTTTCTTAGAAATCAACAAATAGAACGGACCATTTCGGTTTGGTCCGACCGGGATATTTGGGCACACCTTTGAAGGTGGTCCACGTTGACCGGTCTGGTCATTTCTGTCGGTCAGACCAACATGTCCCTTTGCACTTGGCAAAATTGTTGTCCCCAGTACCGCTCTTTTGGATTTTACCTACAAGAACAATGACCAAACGCGTGGTGGCTTGGGTCGGGTCAGTGCAACCGGAATGTGCCATTCCATTCACTGCGGGGCATGTGGAATTTCCAAAACTTCAAACTGAAATTTTTGTCGATGGAAAGCATCCCTGCATTATCAAGACCTACACTCCTCAAAGCCAGAGGAGCCAACGAGCAACCATTGTCTATCTTGCATCGCCCGCCACCTTTGTTTTCATAAGCTTGATACTGATTGATCAGTTTTAACAATAGAGAGTTTTTACTCCTATGGCCAGCATCTATGCAAATTTATTGGAACAAAAGAAAGCATTTGCGTAAGAAAAGAGTTCAACTCCCATAGTATTGTTTCCATTTGGGACACTAACTTGGCCGCCGTTTCTTTTTCTGGGAGACCAATATGGCCGCCGTGACGTCATGTGAAAAAGCCAGTGCACCCAGCCATTGGGAGTGCCTTGAGACACGCACGGCTGAAGACTCAATCCCAGTCATTACCCTACTGGAGACCACCTTCTAACCAAAGGGCCTGAGAAGTCTAGATATGAGATTAAAGGAGACTGCAATATAACGAAAATTTTGCAAGACACTACCATCCCAGACTGACCGAGGTACCTTCCACGATGTCCCACCTCTTTTAAAAGCCCACAAAGCGTCTTATAAAGAGCCACTCCAATTGAACGTACAGTGGAACCTTGATTTAACGAATCAAGGGCTAAGGGACTGGCCAAATGTGTTCGCTAAAACGAGGTTTCGGTATATCGAGGTTCTTTTCCATACACTTTACTAAGTGGGACAGAAAATATCGTTCGTGTTGGACGCCCTCCTTTAGTTCAAAAGAGTCGTTCCTAGTACTCCTCGGCTGGTCCTTCACCACAATGGCGGCGCTCAGTGAAAAGTCGTTCAAAGATTTGACCGTGGAAGAAATTGCCGAATTACTTAAAGGTGAACCTAACAAGAATACCCAAAAATCGACAAGAGGAAGTCGCTTAATTTTTGATGCGTACCTTCAGGAGAAAGGCATTCGAAATCCCACGACAGCTGAGGAATTGGCGACTATTTTGAGAAAATTCTACGCCGAGGCGAGGAGAAAAGATGGAAATTTTTACACAAAAACCTCGCTTTGTGCCATCAAATTTGGTCTAAGTAGACACTTCAAGCAAGTACTTAATGTCGACATAACAAAAGACGTGGAATTTAATGAAGCCAACCGAGTTTATGCAGCACAATGCGCAGAATTGAAGAGACAAGGACTTGAAAAAACTGGTACGAAAGCTCTATATGAACACATACCTCCAATTGACGACGAAGACATAAAGAAATTATACCTAAGCGGTATCTTCAGCACAAAAAACCCAACAACTCTACAAAACAAGGTATTCTTTGAAATAATATTGTTTTTTGGTCGCCGTGGCTCACAACTAAGTCTGCGCCAACTTAAAAAGAATGACTTTGAAGTAAAAATTAACTCACAAGGCAAACGCTGCGTAGTGAAAGTACCTGATCACAGAGCAGACAACGTTCAAGCTGGAGAAAGAGGAATAATGATAGCAATCGATAGTCCCTTCTGCCCCGTTTTTTCCTTTGAAAAATATTTGAGTCATTTGAATCCATTCAGTGAGTTCCTTTTTCAGCGTCCAAAGTCATGCGGTGACGGGCTAGTTTGGTATGACAACATGGTTATCGGTGAGAACACTCTCGGGAAGAAGATGAAAGTTATCTCACAACAAGCGGAGTTGTCAATAATATACTCAAATTATTCAATAAGGTTAACGACAAGTACTATACTCGACATGTTGGTGAGTGACCTCAGAAATGAGAGCAGCAATAGTGAAACAGATTTCATATTCACACGAACATCAAGGCGATCACGTTTCACAAATGATCATTGATGTTTTTATAGCCTCTTAACCGTCTTTAGGCCTGGTTCAGACACCGAACTTTTCATGAGCCGAACCTAATTTGAATTAAGGGAGACCCAAATTATTTAGACCGGCTGAATTGAATCAGACGCCGATCTTAATTGCAGCTGAACCAAGTTCAAAAGGCAAAAATGCTCATTTCGGTCAATTTGCTTACAAAATATGTCATAATAATTTATGTGTTCGGTTTCGTACATGAAAAGTTCGGTGTCTGAATCAAAGCCGTTCCAAACTCGCTCCAAAGGCTCAGCCCTTCCAAGTTGAAACAGATGTTCCTAATTGATTCAGATGCCCAAGTTTTCATGTACTTAATTCAATGTATTAGGTTCGGCTTATGAAAAGTTTGGCGTTTGAACCAGGCCTTAGTCTGCTTCACAGCCTTTCTTTGGGTCAACACGCAAAGCTGATCCTCCCCATAATGGGGTATGTGGTTTGATTCTTAGCAGCTGTTCATGGAGAGTAGTGTTGCGTGACCGCCCAAGCAATGGCTTTGAAGGACACTGAACCTGGTTGGAATATTACTGACTGCTGAACTGGTTACTCAGTTGACTCTTGCAGTTTATTTGTACATCCAAACCATCATAACCAAGTCAATAGTATTTATATTCCTGGAGCCCTTTGCTAGTCCTGCAATCTTTAATTAGCTTCCTCAACTGTTTGGGACAAATGTGTTACACGTTAAAGTGATGTTTTTATAGGAGGTGACAAGCTCTTGGGTTGCACTTGATAAGAAACTTTTTTTGCATATTGTGCTCTGAATAGATACTTGTAAGCGTTCAATAAAAAATAAATAAATAAAATAATAGCAATAAAATAAAAAAAACAGTAGTACTAGAAATACTTGTCAAGCGGGATATTACAAAACTGGGGGACAGTGTGAAGTAAAAGGGAAAAGAGCCAAGAAAGAAAAGAAGGGAAAAAAGAACAAAAACTGTAATTTCGCCAGGAAATCAGGGATCAAATGAACAATATGGCTATAAAGAATAAAAAGTACCCACAACATTGTTTCAAGTTTACTGCTCCGCTCGCTTTTGATGCCAATGGTAAATGAAAGCTCCCACTGTGTGGCTTATTTGGTTATACTCCCAGCTGGTGTACACTCGCCCCCTCCTCTCAAAAAAAAGGTACACAGGCAACATATCCTTCTTGATCTTCATCCAGGGGGGGTTGACTACTCCCTTATTTGGCCAAGAAGGGGATGTGCCGCCGAACAGGGTGTGGTGTTTTGGGTCTTGAGACTTACACAGGATAATTGCCATATTGTAAGTTTAAAATTACTTAATTCTGTTTGTGAAACTAAGTGAATCAGGGTCATGAAATGAGGTCTATTGTCTTAAACAGGGTAGTGAAATGAATGATTTTTGTCTCAATAGAGGATCAAGGTTTGAAGGGCTCGACAGCCAACTCTACCTAAGCTTCTCTTTGGTGCTTTGCCTCCCCCACTCCCCTGGGATCTGCTTATTGCCTAAGTCATACGAAAGCCAAGTTAAATAATGTTGGTTATATTATTCAGTTTCAAAATATTATCAAGCCTATATCATTTTTAAAACATTAACCTTTTCCATATCAGTTTTTATGCTTTTCCAGGTAGTGAGATAGTGGAGAGTTGTCTTTCTCTACCCTTGACCACTGCCCTCGCTACATTTTTCCTGTTCACTTTAACTTTTGCACTGTCTCCACTACCCAAATGCCCTGAACAGGCCAGGCAATTCAGGATATAGTCTGCATTGCATTTTCTTTATAAAGTATCCATCATAGAGGTAACAGAGTATGAAGAGATGTTCTTATCTGGCAGATACTCTCCACGAAGAAGTTGCCATCCCTATTGTGGTATTTTTTTTGCTAAGTATTTATGACATTGATTAGGCTATTTTGCAAACAAATGAAATCTGCCATGTTTTCACCAAAACAGCTGAGTCGCTCCACTGTTCTCTTTATGTGACGACAGTCAGTTTCTGTTTCAGTCTACTATGTTATGATACTTTTTGTCACAAAACTATAATATCACAAAATTATAAGTCAACATTATCCAGATGCTAAGTGGTTATGAAGAAACAGGTGGGGGATTTAAGCTAATCAGAAACAGAAAAATATTTTGAATGAATGATAAATGTCTTGATTTATCACAAGGTAAAAGGGCACATCTCTTTTTACAATTAAAAATCTTCAATATTTTTTGCAACACTTATTATCATATTCTCAGTATAAAAGTCCAGTAAAAGAGAAACTTCTTTTCAAAAGACTCTCCATGCATTTTTGCCTGAAAATAAAAATACATGTTATTGTAAACAGGTCAAAGAATTCATAAATTGTTGAATATTTTGAGGTTAATAATTCTTTTTACATTTGCATAAAAAAATTCTCGAAAATAAGAGGCCGGCTTCCGATAAACACAAAATAACTATTTGATTGGTCAAATTGTAAGAACTAGAATGGCATTGTTTAAGAACCAATTAGGTTCAAGATTCCTTTGTGTTCACGTGGTCAAATCAAAATCTATTTTTGGCACTTGTTTGAAACTGAAGAATCGTCTGTAACGAAAGCACAGATCTTCTCCGTTATTTCTCGAATTACGGTTCCTTGGGACAGATCAGTAGAGGATTGTCAAGTTCCGATGCTTTTGGTGTGCTATAATCCTTCAGATTTGTTCTAACGCGTTCTTTCTTCGCTCTAACATTTCCGAAAAATCGCGATTGGAATTCCCGCGTTACCACGATACCAACACATATTTTTGCTCTGGGGACGGTTGTTTGGAGCTGAAAAGTTCGCAAGTCAACGACAAAGATCGCAAGTGAGGAAGGATACAAAGCCAAAAGCTCGAAATTTTTTAAGATAGAGATTTGGCTATGACGTCGTGTTGGTCGGCTAAATATGGTTGTGTCACTCCTGAATTTATGAACCACTAGTCGGCGTCCGCTTGGCTTGGAACGCTCTGAAGTTTGTATACTGTATTCATTTTGGGGTTGGCGTAATCGGTCGTTTAAAGCTTCACTGAACTCTTCAAAATGGCTCTTTTATCCTGGGCTTGGCTTTTAGCGAGCTAGTGAATTCTTAAAACCTGTAAAATGGATGAAGACGAACAAGATGTTTACGTGGCACAACTTCACGAAGTATTCGACAGTTGTGATCATTCCGGGAAAGGTTTCCTCAATAGAAGCGAACTTGTTGAGTTGTGCAAAAAATTACAGCTCGATGACCAAGTTCCGCAACTGCTACAACAGCTTTTGGGGAGTGTGGAAGCAGAAGGACAGGTAAGTTATGTTAACGTAACTTCAGAAGGTTTAGATAAGCCCCGATACCGTGGTAACGACGACCTGTTTTAGTTTGGCGTCGCTTCAAATTTTGTTGTTACATAGATTGAGGGTTTAATCTAATTTACAACCTTTAATTTCCGATCTTCCATTAAAGCTGGTAATGTTTTTCGATCTGTTATGTTTACGTATACCTATCATAATATTCTCTTCTCCCTATCCGCTACCGGGGAAAATTAGATTGGTTCAAAATTATTCGAGTCTTTGTTTATTTCAGTTCCAAGTGGGAGTCTACAGTACAATAGTTTTGTTTACAGAATGATACCTTCGAGAAACTGATACCTTAGGTTTTCTTCATGTGATGTCGATTTCTTTATCGATTTTAAATTGATAAGATTGGAAAATTCCGTTGGTTCATTTGTGTTGGCAAGTGAAAACCTCATTTACAGCTGTACTTTCATCACGCGAACCGGATTAAGATATCTTTTGAAAGTTTCTTTTAGTTATATTGGCATTCACAACGTACATGTTTAGTGATCAGTGAAATTGAGAAATTTGAAAAAAAGCGGCCTTGTTTTTTTCATCATTATTTCGATGTAAAAATCCTATTCATCTCATAAACAAACCACGGTTTAATCGCAGAACAATAACCCCGTCACTACATTTTATTTGCATTTCTTTTATCTCAAAACCATGGCCTTTCTTCCAACAGCAGGCTGACGAGTCCCATGCGGGAGATAATTTCATCAGCTCATTTTGTAATTATTCCGAGCAATTTGCTGTAGATTTTAAATTTATTTGCATGCTGTTTGTTTGATATTAGAAATTCATCTAATTGTCAATTAGTTTAATGAGGGTTCACTCTTTATTAGTATTTTATGATCTTGCCCCAGGCATTTAATTTTAACTAAGTTGTGTGGATTTTGTTTTGCCCACCAGAAAGTTGCCACATCTGTTAGATATGTGAGGAAACTTCTCAGTGTTGAAGAAAAAATGTTTTAGAACTCTTAGAGATTAACTTTAGGCAAGTTAAGCTCTTTTTCCAGCTTTTAATTAACACATAACCCTAAACTCTTTGTTTACTGATCATGTCAACACTTAGACGGATTAACAAAAAGCTTACCACTTTGCAAACCCTCTCATTTAATACACTCATTCATCATCTCTCTTGGGCAGAAAATTAACTTCTTTGGCTATAGTCATTCGCTCGTATAAAACATGAAGGTACTTGTCAAACCCATAAAGTTAAACCCATCGTCAATAGATGGGTATGGGGAAGGTGTCTTTACAAACAGAGGGAGCCGCAAGCGAGCACGGAAGGTGACCATTGCAACCCTTCAAGGGGCAACCACCTGGTACCATCACACTTTGAACCTTTGTGAGGGGTTTACTGGGAACTTACCAAGACACTAGTGAAGGGGGTGAAGCTGGGAGCAAAACGGTTGATTGACGGCACAGGACTAGACTACGATCAGTCTCTCTTTTTTCTTGGTCCATCAAGCAAAAGGCTCGAGACACACAAATGACCTTGTGGGTTACTTAACTTGTGAGACGGGAGAGGCACGAAAAAAGAGTGACTACCCGCAAAGCCAGAGAGAATGGTCTTTCATAGTCTAGTGATTTTTTGGCATAAAAACTGAAGTGTTGACAGGCCAAACACGTGAAACGTGACCCTAGAGTTTGCTTGAACAACAGAGGTTTTCCTTCTTTTCTTTTTGACGCATAGCTTATGCAGTGCATAGAGGCGATTCTAAACTAATTGACTGAGCAAATCTTAATTTTGGCTGCTAGTGTTACATTTAGAGGTCATGAAGCTGGTGTATTTCTCGCATATTAATAAACTCATTCCTGTGGTTTATGTTTTGAATGAGATCACCCGAGGCCTGGCTCTTTTAATCTTTTCTTGTTTATGGGGAGTTCTCAGGGGATAATGTTCTTCATAACCTAATTGTAGCTTAACTAAAGCTAGGTCAGCTATAGAGAATTGTGCTGCAAGTCAGTCAAGATCATTCTTTGGGCGCCGATTTGTTTTTTTTTTCCTGAGATTCAATGTAACCGAATCTTTGTCCTATAGTGGGTTGTCCTGTTTTGCATCCGTTGGTAATTACTTTTGTTTTAGCTGTTTAAAATAGGCTTCCAGTGTATGCAACGTTCTGTTATAAGTTCTAAAGCATGAATGCAGTTTTGGAAGTAAAGCATTCCTCGGCAATGAATAGAGGCTTTGAGCATTGCTTCTCTTTGCTCTGTATCTAATCTTTCTATTTTCGGAATCCGTGACAAAGATTCTGCAGTGCTTCAGCGGTCATCAACTTGTTAATGGTTTTGATTATTGACAATTTTGTTGTCAACGCTTCATGCATCAGCCAATCGTATTTGCGTTGTGAGGCCAATGCGTATTTCATTTACTCTAGCTGTGTGAGCAGTCTCTGTTTTTTCTTCTTGGGCTGCCACCCTCATTCCTCGTGGCTTCGCCACTTGACGCTCGCGCGCGCGTGCACTCCCCTCACTAAATCTGAAGAAAAAGAGAGACTGCTCGCAGTCTAGCACAGGACAGGCAATGTTAGCAAGATGATATGAACTCAACAATGGCATTGTAAAATCATGAATGCCTTGCAAAAGCCCTGAGACCTTCCACATACGATAAGGGAAAGAGACCATTGGCCAGCACTGTCTCATGTTCAGCTTAACCTATATTGCATTTAATGACATAATTTAATCCCTGGCACTCTCTCATCAACAACTCTCCAACCCCTTAAAGGAAATACTTGCCGCATACACTGTGTGTACAGTCCAGATACACTTACATGCAAAGAATATAAACTGTCAAATAGTATTGGAACCCCAGTCCACAGACTAATGCCTGTGGACCTACACTGTATTTACGTGGATCAGTAAAATGGACGCGGTCCATAGGCCGCCCTTGACTGGAAAACCCCTAATCTTTTAAAAAACAATTTTACTAGAGGTCTTACAGAATTCTAAGAACCATAAATTGACTATACTGCTGTCATTTAATTTCACCAGAATCTCTTAAGAGGTTGAAACGTGTAACTCGCGAAGCTTTCTTATGCGTAACAGCAAGGCTTTTATAGCTTGTAGATGAAAAGTCTAGGTAGTATATTATTTTTAGCTATTCATGACTTCCCTATGTTAACATATACACATGTAGATAGAAGTTACATTAATTAACACAACAAGCTAATACCTAGTGCAGGGTGCAAAGAAAATCATTTTTACAGCTTGCCTTTTGGGCAACCTGAAGCTAGCATTTACTAGCCCAGTCGTCATTTCAACTAGCCCCAAAAGTTTTTTGATGACCAGAATTAATTTCACAGTTCTTCTGTTGTTCGAATTTCTCAAAAAACATCCCTTTGCCATCGGGCAAGTTAAAAACAGAATTCACTAGTCCTATAGCAAAACCCACTAGCCCCTAGCTATTGGACACATACTTTCTTTGTACACTACTAGTGATACCTATTTTGCAGCTGTACATGTAGCATCACCAGTTAAGAAGGAATTGCTTCACAACTTGAACTTACAAAAGTCAAGTAACATATGATCTGTTGCTTTATAACTTCTGTTGTGTATCTTGTGGAAACGATTTACATGTATGTTGTCTCATCATGGCAGAGAACCTCAAGAAGAGTTTTAAAAAACAACAGTTATTATTTATCAAGACCTGAAGGCCTGTCAAAAGGCCAAAAATGTTTTGTGACTTGTAAAAAATATGTGCTTGCTCTGGCAACCAAATAGTGTATGAAGACAGCTAGGATGCTCACCCCTGGCCCCAGGCTGAATGTTGAGACCAGGACTTTTCATTAATGTTATTACTGTTTTTGGAGAAAAAGGCTTAAAGCTCTGTTTTACATGTAAGAGAAAGACTTTTGCAAGTGCAACAGGTGGTCGTAGTGTGCAGTATGCTATATGCTTGTGTCTACAGCTTGTGGGATTATAGAGGCAGGATCTTGGCCCTTTTTTAAAATCGGTACTTTATTTTAGCTGCGTGAAAAAAAAAAGTCAGGTTTACTGGATGCTTCAAAAATTTTATGGAAAAATTTGAAGAATATTTTAAGGTTAAGTCATCAAATTTCTTGCTGCCTGACCAAACATAGTTTCAAGCCTGGGTTAAATTACACTGTATTGATGAATATTAAATGAACTCCGAGTATAACCTGCTTTCTGACATCATTGTGTGTCCAGCTCTGTTGTCTTGTTTTAGGAGGAAAGACTGATAACCTATTCCCTGTGTGAAATAAGTCTTGGCTGTTCATCTCTGGTTATTTTTCTTTACAATAGTTTCTAACTGACAGTGTTAAAAATTTAGTTATCACCATGAAAGAATTTGTATGTGATTATCTCTCAAAGGAAGTGACAGTCAATGGAAGGAAACTAAATGTAAGTTTGAAAATTGTTCAAGTGGATGGAAAGTTTTCTTTGTTCGACCACAACATACATGGAACTTATTTCATTCTTTTTTCCTCTGGAAATAATTAATAATCATGATGCTTTTCTCCATTTAAACCTTTTGAGTCATAAAATAATACATTTAGCCACTATGTTACTGCTTTGTCCTTATTGCGAATGTTATCCAGTGCTTTGCTCTGACAGAGCCTAGTGGTCCCTGGTGCCTACCTTTTGCTCTCACACGACCAGAAAATCTTAGTTTTTTCATACAAGTTAGATGCTGGGCACCCTAGATTTTACAGTTTTAGGAATCCTAAAACTGTAAAATCTAGGTTCAGGGTCCGAAATTGCACCTTCCTGGTCGCCAATGCGACCAAAAATTCAGTTCTGGCAACCAGAATTTCATAGCTGGTCGCCAGCTGGCGACTTGTAAAGCTGGTTGTTACTATAGACTTTCACGTTCGGAGAAAATGATTAAGAATTGAAACCTCGAAGCTATTTGTCAACAGGGGCGTACTTTTCGTCCTGCTGATATTTTTTTAATTTAAAAGTGAAACGAATCTTCCTGTAAATATACCTCCACAACAGCTACGATCAATACGAGTTGAACGTTTCCAAGCCGCCAAGGGGAATTTTTTGCGACCATAATTTGCCCTCTGACGACCAGAAATTTATACTTGCTCACCAGTTGGCGCCCATATTAAAAAGTTAATTTCGGACCCTGACTAGTTACTGGTTCCGCTCAATTTTCCTTAAAGCACAACCTTGTAATCAGTTTTATACACTGTGGTTAAATTATGACTACATGATAGAAATTTAAAAGGTAAAAGTTACTTTAAAATTATGTACAAGGATTTTAAAAAGTGGGTAAAAGGGAAATTACATATCACCATAATTTTTTTAAGATCAAGAAAAATAATAGAGCTATCAAAGTTAGCCCAGGAAGCTCATTAGAGATTTTACAGTATCCTATTTGCACAATCAAGGAAACTATGTAGGTTTGGAATTCAGAATCCAGCAGTAATAAATTTCAAAAAGAAAATTATTATCAGGGTGCAAAGAAAATCATTTTTATAGCTTGCCATTTGCGCAAGCTGAAGCTAGCATTTACTAGCCCAGACGTCATTTCAACTAGCCCCAAAATCTTTTCGTCAAGCAGAATTGATTTCACACTTTTTCTGTTATTCAAATTCCTCAAAGAACATCACTTGCCTGGCGGGCAAGTTAAAAACAGATTTCACTAGCCCGATAGGAAAATCCACTAGCCCCGGGCTATCGGACAGTCTACTTTCTTTGCACGCTGATTATGTAAAGTCAGTAGAAAATGTATTTTCGTTACGTCACATTACCACGGTAGCAAAATTTTTGGATGACAACAAACCAATAAGGTCACTTAAAAGTCTATTTGCACTATTTTAAATTTCACCGATCTTATTCAATTTTATTTAATTTGGCAAATCTTGGTGAAATTTTCTTTGGGACTGTATCTATCGTTATCTAATTTTTAAAAAAGCGACAATTTTTGTGTTATGTTCAACTACTCCATAAAGCGGGCTCGTGAAATTAGGAAGTTTCTTGTTGTTGTTATGCAATGACGGCAAAGAAATGTACAAAATAGCATGATGCACGTGCAAAGTTGTTGTTTGTTAATATAAGTTACATATATTTTTTGCCATTCTCTTTGCAGTTGTTGGGTTTTTTGTCATCCAGAAATAGTGCTACTATGGTAGCGTGACGTCACACTTCTCTCTGTTGTATTGTACTGTATATGTAGTCTTGTCTGTTAACCGCTTTCAGGTGACATTTGATGACTTCAAAGAAGGATTTGTAGCTGTGCTTTCTCAAGCAATTGAACAGTTGTCCTCCAGTGAGGATGAAGATCAACCCTCTGATAGTACTGCAGGTAAATTAGTAAGCTCTTAGACTAGTCCTGGGAATCAGTCGAGAATATTTTCTTAATCAATCATCAGAAATAATTGGATTGACCCAACAGATCAATCATCGATTATTATCAGAAAAATTTCTTTGCAAGAATTTGAGACAACACCTTGAGTGTTTGTGAATTTGCCCAACCGGTCCTAAGTGTTTATAAGAAAAGAAGTAACTCTCTTCTCTAAGCAATGTGGCTGGCACATGTTGTCAGACCATCCCGCACTTTGTTTTTACTACAAGTAGTGTTTAAGGAACTCAGGTGTAGTCAGGTAGAGTAGTATTTGCTGTTTGCCTTTTGATCTTTCTAATAATGAAAACTGGCTTAAAGAGTCAGAGACAATGGTTTGCAGTAACTTTCATTTACTGAAAATAATTATCACATTATACATTTTAAACTCTTTTAAAATGCAACTGGCACTTTAACCGGGGCTGTCATTAAGGGGTGGGGCTTGAGATTTTCCCCAGCTACTATGAAGTCGACGCCCTTTTACTTTTTTAGGAGTAGAAGAAAAATTAAACCAAAGGTCAGAATCCCTAGCTCTTTGATTCCCTGCCTACTTGTTGTATTTATAATTACTAGCTAACTTGAAATCTTAGTGACAGCCCTAGCCACAGGCTGACCTAAACAAATAAATGCTGAACACCTTCTGTTTAACAAAGATTCTTAATCAGGTACATGTATGTACAGTGCATACCTATTATAATGGTAAATACTGCAGTGTTGTCGTGTACATTAATCAATTTATGTAAGTTTAACAATGTTTATCAACATTGATCACTTTCAGAACCACCAAAGGCTGTGGTAAATGAGAAGAGGTATGGAAGAAGGTCACGACCAGAGACTTCATACTCAGAAGACCTGTACTCTGCTGATGATGAGAGTCTGATTGACAGTCGGCCAGAGAGTCGCTTGAGTGACTCACACTTCACAATGGAGGCTGATCGTGTTGAGAGCCCTGTCAGAGAGGTATGTAATGAAAAATTGTACGAAGTTGTCGTGGATGCGAGGACAACATTATAACTTACTGTCTTTATGTCACATCTTAACAGCATATTAGCTCAGACCTGAGTACACAAAGCAGAGTGCAAAGAAAGTCATTTTTACAGCTTGCCATTTGGGCAAGCTGAGGCTAGTATATACTAGCCCAAATGCCATTTCAACAAGCCCCCCAAAATTTTGATGAGCAGAATTGATTTCACAGTTCTTGTGTAATTTGAATTCCCCAACAAACTTCAGTTGCCTGTTGGGCAAGTTAAGAACAGATTTCACTAGTAGCCTGATAGCAAAATCCACTCCGCAGACTCGCACTCTTCCAACTTGCAGCAGTATGTACATGTACATCCATTTTGTTCCACCCCTGGGCCATGTCAGAGTAAGTATAGCGTGAGAAAACAGCCAACATTTCGCGACACCACCACTAGTTTTCCCTCAGAGTGACGTCTGAGAAACGAGGTCATCAGACATTCGATACTGATGACGGATCAGTGCCCAGATCTGGGTAGTGCTTCTGATTGGTGGAAAGTTTGTTTCAACCAATCAGAAGCAGTACCCAATTTGGGTTGTGATGTGTCATCAGCGTGGAATTTCAGTGCTCGTTTCTCAGGTGTAATTTCGTTGGGAAACCAGTGGTTTCTAATGTCAGAGGGGACTTGAGTTAGTTTAACCATTCACCCCTGAACTGCCCGTGATTGCCTGTGTGTAGCCATGCCCCTTCTACAGCTTGTGATTTCATCAGTCATAAAGAACTCTATCTAGGAGCTGGCTGTGCCAAAAGTGGACATTCCTGGACATTCCAGGCACTCAACCTTCATTAAGCTACACAGAAATTAATACAGGGTTCTTCTGAATTGCTAGAGGGGTGGAATTTCCTGCAAATTGAGCCAACGGGCGCATAATGGGTTACAGGTAGCTGGGACTGTAAGTGTATGGTGTTCTTCTGTATACATGTTATATTATTACTCACTCATTTTCTTTCCCTTAAGGAAAAAACAAAGTTGAAAAGAAGACTGTCTAGCAGGAAGAGTAGCCTGAGAAACAGCATACGTCGTCACAACTCTAAGCAGAGGAAGTCACGTGAAGATTCTGTCATTGTGAATGACTCCGATGCAGTGGATAGTGGTGGCTATTTAAGTGTTTCTCCACATCCAAATGATGGCAACTCAGGTATTTGAGATTTGCAATGTTCTCCATGCAGTTATTAAGGAGCTATTGTAACTGTATGGATCTCAAGCTAGGCCAAATCAGCAACCGGTGTATCAAATAACCCTTGAGCCCCATGTCCACATACAAATTCACCAGACCAGAGGTGGACCTAGAGGGAGGTTGCAGGGGGTGCCCACTCTCCCCCCTTTCTAATTATTACTGTGCAGTCACTTTACAGTTTTTCAAAATCTGCTGTGTCGCTTGATATGTATTATCAGCAGTTCTCATTAATTGCCTAGTCAAAAGCCTTCTTCTTCATATTCGCTTTTAAAATTTGTTTATGTCAACAGTCAGTTACGCCATCTGCTAGTGGGATATCCCCTCCTAAGAAAAATCCTGGATCCACCCCTGCAGACTGAACTACATACATTTCCATTTGAGGATCAGTCAACAGAGATTTGTGAAAAAATCAAAGAATTTTCCTGTTAGTGATCATTACTTTAATTCTCTTAACTCATTCTCTGTCTCTCTCTGTCTTAATTATGTATTGATATTGTTAGCGGAAAGTTGATGCTTGTCACTCGTGGGATTTACTGAAAGGTTTAAACAAGTCCTTGAATGTTTTACATACATGTATTGGTGTATGTCTAATTTTCTACCAGGCTATGAATCTCCTACTGAAGAAGAACAACTGAGGGCAATCTGGAATGAAGTCAATGTTGGTGCAACAGGTTTCCTGGACAGACACGAACTGTCAGTTGTGTGTGATCACATCGGCATGGACTCCATGAATGAACAGGTTTGACAGACACTGATTTTTTTCTCATTAAAATTGGCGAGCTTATATAAATGCGGGAAGAAATTTTTGTGTGATGAACTGATTTTTGCATTCTTTTGCAGTGGTTGCATGTTATGGCAAAATTGTCTTGCAAATCCTTTCTGTAAGAGTTAAGATACTAAGCAGTACAAATTTGGTAGCATCAAGGCAGGCAGAGAACCTCAAGAAGAGTTTTAAAAAACAACAGTTATTATTTATCAAGACCTGAAGGCCTGTCAAAAGGCCAAAAATGTTTTGTGACTTGTAAAAAATATGTGCTTGCTCTGGCAACCAAATAGTGTATGAAGACAGCTAGGATGCTCACCCCTGGCCCCAGGCTGAATGTTGAGACCAGGACTTTTCATTAATGTTATTACTGTTTTTGGAGAAAAAGGCTTAAAGCTCTGTTTTACATGTAAGAGAAAGACTTTTGCAAGTGCAACAGGTGGTCGTAGTGTGCAGTATGCTATATGCTTGTGTCTACAGCTTGTGGGATTATAGAGGCAGGATCTTGGCCCTTTTTTAAAATCGGTACTTTATTTTAGCTGCGTGAAAAAAAAAAGTCAGGTTTACTGGATGCTTCAAAAATTTTATGGAAAAATTTGAAGAATATTTTAAGGTTAAGTCATCAAATTTCTTGCTGCCTGACCAAACATAGTTTCAAGCCTGGGTTAAATTACACTGTATTGATGAATATTAAATGAACTCCGAGTATAACCTGCTTTCTGACATCATTGTGTGTCCAGCTCTGTTGTCTTGTTTTAGGAGGAAAGACTGATAACCTATTCCCTGTGTGAAATAAGTCTTGGCTGTTCATCTCTGGTTATTTTTCTTTACAATAGTTTCTAACTGACAGTGTTAAAAATTTAGTTATCACCATGAAAGAATTTGTATGTGATTATCTCTCAAAGGAAGTGACAGTCAATGGAAGGAAACTAAATGTAAGTTTGAAAATTGTTCAAGTGGATGGAAAGTTTTCTTTGTTCGACCACAACATACATGGAACTTATTTCATTCTTTTTTCCTCTGGAAATAATTAATAATCATGATGCTTTTCTCCATTTAAACCTTTTGAGTCATAAAATAATACATTTAGCCACTATGTTACTGCTTTGTCCTTATTGCGAATGTTATCCAGTGCTTTGCTCTGACAGAGCCTAGTGGTCCCTGGTGCCTACCTTTTGCTCTC